CTACACATTTGACTATATTTAAGAGCTACTCAGGAAGCCAATATTGTATATTATGTAACACAAGATTAAGCATTAATGAGGCAAGAATAAAATTGTTTATCTAAACCCCAATCTAAAATTAAACAGAAGTTTATGCTGAAAGCTCACACTGCACTCATTCTGTCTCCTAACATTAACAGAGCACAGCTTATTTAGTCTCTGAGATATGTCCCAACAGCATTTACTTGGGAGAAAAAGATGTTGCTATCAGGAAGAGAGACTATTTTTCCTAAAGCAGAAAAGGATGCATACTTAGTTCTCATGCACATAAATACAGCACATTGCAGGTATTTTGATCTAAGGAAAAGAGCTGATATTCTTGACTTCTGTTTATACTGTGTTTTAAAGCTAAATACAGAAGCATCTACACAGAGACAAGACCTTTTGACTGCACTCTGTCGTCTCTTGCTGAGTAGCCAAACCAAAAAATAAAAAAAAATAAAAATCACACACCAAAGATACCTATGTGCTCAAAAGGGAAATTCAAAACAAAATTAGAGCAAAGTCTGCATATGCCTCCACAAAGATTCACTGTCCTCTTTTTGGACGTCTCACTAAGCAAGCAGCTCTACAAGGCTCACTAAGGGGCTTCAGACTGCCCCGAAAAGAGACAAGCAGACGAGACCACGGTCACAATCACTGTACCACAAACCTTCACAGTCACGGCAGAGCCTCAAAACGCTCAGCTAAGTGTCTGGTTTTAAGGATAGGTGGAAAAGTCCTTGAGCCTATTCCCCTGAAGACAGTGTCTCCAAAACCTCAAACCAGTTGCAGCGTACGCCATGGCTAATGATATAACATGCTATTATTCCTTAAATCTATGCTGAGGTGCCAAAGAGACAAACCCACCCCCCCTCCCCTCCATTTCCAGTGGCTAATCAACCAGCATCAGATGTTTGAGTTCCACCGGTCAGACAACACATCTGACAGAAAGCAGGCTGCAGGAACTCCAGCCAGAGGAAAATGAATCTGTTTTCCTGGGACCGTGGCATTAAATAGTTCAGGCAAAGTGAAAATGCACCCTGACGAAGATTGGAGAAGCACTGCTGGGTGACCAGCACAAGGTAGGACCCAGCCCTAACTCCCAGCAAGCTGACACCATGACTTGGCGTCCTCCTCCTGCTCTGACTGGACATTGCTCATGTTCATGCCAGGCTTCTATCTACCTTTTGAACGTCACTAACACAGAATTAAATATATTTGCAAGAACACAGTAAGACAATCCTCAACCTTGTAGGCTTTTAAGTACGTTTACATCAGGCCTATCACAATGCTGGTGGCTTCTAAAACTCTCAAATTCAAGTAGTTCAGGGTAATCACCTGAAGAATTCAGAGCAGGAAAACTTTAGATCCTTTGAAAATTCTGTATTATCACTAAGTTCTAGCAAATTATTCTAAAATGGGTGGGAGGGGAACGACCATGTTTAAAGCCAAATCATATACTTACAAAAACTTGCTGTCAGCTGTGTACCTTGCATTCTCACAACATACGGATTTAAATAAAAGTTATTAATGAAAACTGCTCACGTCACAATAGCTGCCTCCTAAATTTATTTCCCACCTCACCAGGTAGGAGAATCAAAAGTGGTGCTAAGCACAGACCAAACGAGAGCAGGACACTTCACCAGCTGTCCCACTCAACTCCGGCTGAAACTACGAGAGAACTCTTCAGGAGGAAGGGGAAAGGCAGAAAGATAACCTGAACGGAGGAGAAGCTAGATTTAAGACAGAGTTCTATGGAAACCCAAGGAAGTTTCAGCTGTTTTATTTAAGCTCATCTACATGGAGGCAGTTTTTCTCCAGAGTAGCAGAAGGTTAACTAACACTGATCCAGCCCTAAAACTCCAGGCTTTCCTCGATCCATCACAGCATTCCCACTTCAGCAGAGGGCATGCGCAGCTAAGAACTTATTTTAGTTCCTGTGTCTCTTGCTTATAACAGCTTGAAGAGAATACTACAGCTATTTACATTCATGCCCACTGGGAACCCCTCTCAGACATAAACTTTAAAATAAACTGGAAAAGTGAAGACCTAAACAAACATACAGCTTAAAAATGTGCTAAATATTTCCTTTTGTAAAGATTTTTTTTTCCTTGCTGGTTATTAATTTAGAAGAAACAACTAAAAAAAAAAAGTTGATAAACTATGTTAAATTAGTCAAAACGCATTGACAAATACAGGGTTTTCTTAAAAGATCTTGTATACTAACTATGGGAAGAAAAAAAAAAAAAAGCAAAGGCACCACTCAAATAGGACATTCCTTAACACGCTTGTGAAAACTTAGTACAGTATGGCCTAAATTCTCATCTGTCACCCTGGCCACTTCACATCTTCCAGTATTATAACAGAAATACAATGTCATATCCACCTCTATATTCTGACTTCCCCTACAGTAGCCACAGCTTGCTTTAATATAAAATAGGCTCTACAATAATTCTCTATTTCTGTTGCATTACTTATCTTGCACTATTGTAATGCTCCAACCACAGGGCTTAAGGCAAAAATTAGGAAGAGTTCTCCCCCGGAGAAAGCAGCATAAATGTAAATGTCTAAAAAAGGCACACATTATACAAGAAGCCTGATAATAAGGAGATTTAACTTTAAGTAGGTTTTGCAGAGAGGCAAAAATGCTGGCTCCCCTCCCCACGGGCTTCAGTGACTGGTAAGGTAAACTCTCATAAATTAGAAACGTGCAGGACGTATTGACCTCTAGCCTGGTTTCCATTTAGGGCAAGTCACTTCAAGAATGCCCCTGACTCATTTTCAAGTAGCTTTTGCAGAACTTGGGAGTTGCCGTAGTGCTCCTGCATCCACGTAATAGTTTTGAGAGTTTCATTTCATGTTAATATGGTAGCTAAACAGGAAAACAAGGCCTTTTTTTTCTAGCATTTCTGGAATTGCTAGAGGGTTACTTCACACTGCAATAGAAAAATAGCAGGCAAAGTATCTTAAATTATTTTGGTGATGAAAAAAACGCAGACAAATTAATTCCACAGGCTTGTAATTTACATAATTCATTATTCCACTTTAAGGAGGAAAAACAAAACTGGATAGTCGAATATTATTTACTGCAGCCTTTATTCTGTATGCCTTACTACAGCAAAACTGCTGTAAATTTTGTCTGAAAAAGATTGGGAATTAAAAGAAAGCAGAAGTGAGACCTGTGGGCAAAAATAGGAAACAGAGATTAAACAATCCGTTGTAGGTCAAAGGTTATTTGTAGATCAGTTACCACTGGGGGCTAAAAAAGCCTACTCAAACCCATCAACACTCTGCTTCACAGTTGCTCAAACTTAATATTTAGTCTTCTCTACACTGAGAATTTAGACCTAATGAAGAAAAATGTAACCCTTGAAAAATGATAGCTGATATAAAGTTTCACACCACTTGCAAAACTTTTACAAAAAGCCTTTAGGCCTGATATGCAAGTTCAAATGTAGAAGTCAAGTAGCACAAACAGGGTCCAACACCTGCCCCCAAGCCTCAGTACTTTTGTTTTTCTTTTCCTTTCTCCTGTAAACTGTTTATCACAAAAAGACATTTTATATTTAAAAGCGTATTTCACAGTTGCTGCAATTCAAACTTTAGAAAAGTAGTTTTGTTGTCCCAGCAACTTCACCGTCAGCAGAATTCACTTCTGAAGTGAACCAATTTGTTCTAAACACATTGCTAGGAGATTCTCAAAAGAGGAAAGGACTGCTTAAGCTGACTGTGTGCTGGATTTATCAGACTGTGTGCTAAGAATCATACTACTTTGGCATTCCTTCTAAGCTGTCACCTTTCCAACACTGGGCCTTCACACCTCAAAATCCAAGAGAATACTAAAGCAAGGTCTACCTACGTTTGACCAGTAATGAAGTTTTCTCATCTTCCTCAAAAGAATCAGTGAACATGCACACCAACCCAAGCACTCCGGGAATGATTTCATCCTCCCCTTTCTGTTTGACATATGCGGTGTTACGAACTATTTACCAACAGAAGATTGTGGTATCACAGCATCGTCTAACAAGAACATCTCAGAAGAGAATGGAAACATCCTACAGTAAGTGATAGGTTTTAGAATATTTTTATAGTAACGCTCTTCCCCACTGAACATCCAAATTCCACACAAGTGAAAGTCTAAATAACTGATTATGCTTTAAATAAACATCTTTCAGATCACTAACACGTTGCTAGAAAATAGTCGAACTCAATTTTCATTATTTCCCTTCTAAATTCAGAACAAATATGAAAACTGCTTTACAAAACCACCCTCCCAGCAGTGAAATGACACCTGCAGAATAGAAACCGAAGCTTCTAGAGAAGCTTGGCAATTAGGACTAATGGAAAAGTAACTAGATTCCCAAGGCTTCCCAAACCCTCTTTCCTTTGAAGATGTCAGCCACTCCTCCCTGTCCATCTTCCTTCTAAGCACTTGCCAGGATTTCTGATAGCATGACAGTTATGTAAGCTTTATGAAGTTCAGTAGAGTAATAAGCCACAAATCAATTCAGCAACTGAAGTTACACGCTTGTCCTCCGCATGTGTCAGGAAGGTGAAGAGTTAAATACAACAACCGAATTCACAGGAGCAGGCACATACCTCAGTCTTCCAGATTCAATTAGATTTTGTTTTGTTTTGGCTTTCTTTAATTACCCACTGCCATTTGAGTCCAAGTGGGTGACATAAATGTATTATCCCATCATAATGTCAGAATTTAAAATTAGATTTGGTCTCCATAAATACACTTCACCCAACCTTAGCGACTCCGTCCAGCAATGACGACTATTTTATGTAACATCTTTCATACACTAAGACCTAAAAACTGCACTAAAAATTACAGCTACCTTTTCTGGCTGTGGATTTCTCCTCCATTTGTTTGAAGAGAATTCAGTTCAGGGCGAAAAGGAAATAGTTTCGTAAGATCAAACACCGAAACAGCAGGAGAAAAAGCAAATTACATAAAGTACAAATGTACTTACAGTCTCCTTATTCGGAAGCAACTCCTTTCGGATCCTGAAGAAGTTCTTGCCGTACTGCCTCAACCCCTTAATAAAACGTTTCTGTGATAAAAGATAACAAAAACAGTATGTCAGCAAAAGGAAGGAAGGAAAAAAGGAAAAAGAAAAAAAAAATATATCTTGGTAATCGGCACAACAGCCAAACAACGTTCTTAGCTTAAGGTCTGTCGATAGAAGAAAACGTTATTACCTACACAGCAACTGAACACAGGCGGGGGGAAAAAGGCTTTGAAAAGATACCGAAAAATTCAAACCACACTCCCTTCTACGCCAAACTTCCAACATTTGAGGCTTAAAAAAAAAAAAAAAAAGTCAGTACCACAGTCAGTTCTTCCTCAAAGCGACCGAAGTGTTCTGCCGCACGTCTCCTTTGAAGTCTATTTTTCAACTACGAAGAACCAAGCGAAGGAAAATACGCAACGCCGATTTTCAGGGGAGAAAAGTGACTCTCCGGAGAAGGTGTTGCAGGGGTTAAAGAGTCCTTGCAGCCGCCAACCCTCCGGCTTCTCGCGGCCCGATTTTCGGCGGAACAGCAGCAAAACCCTTCCCGAGAAAGCCCTCGGCCGGGCGGGAGCGGAGCCGCCGCGGCCGCTCCCCCTCCGCGGCTCGCAGCGG